AGAGAGACAGACAGCAGTGAGACAGACAGCAGAGAGACAGACAGGAGAGAGACTGGAGAGAGACAGACAGCAGTGAGACAGACTGGAGAGAGACAGACAGGAGAGAGACTGGAGAGAGACAGACAGCAGTGAGACAGACAGGAGAGAGACAGACAGGAGACAGACAGCAGTGAGACAGACAGCATAGAGACAAGAGAGACAGACAGGAGAGACAGACAGCAGAGAGACAGACAGCAGAGAGACAGAGAGGAGAGAGACAGACAGGAGAGAGACAGACAGCTGAGAGACAGACAGCAGAGAGACAGACAGGAGAGAGACAGACAGGAGAGAGACAGACAGGAGAGAGACTGGAGAGAGACAGACAGGAGAGAGACTGGAGAGAGACAGACAGCAGTGAGACAGACAGCAGAGAGACTGACAGGAGAGAGACTGGAGAGAGACAGACATGAGAGAGACTGGAGAGAGACAGACAGCAGAGAGACAGACAGGAGACAGACAGCAGTGAGACAGACAGCAGAGACAGACAGGAGAGAGACAGACAGGAGAGACAGACAGAGAGAGACAGACAGCAGAGAGACAGACAGCAGAGAGACAGAGAGGAGAGAGACAGACAGGAGAGAGACAGACAGGAGAGAGACAAACAGGAGAAAGACTGGAGAGAGACAGACATGAGAGAGACTGGAGAGAGACAGACAGCAGAGAGACAGACAGGAGAGACAGACAGGAGAGAGACAAGAGAGACAGACAGGAGAGACAGACAGCAGAGAGACAGACAGGAGAGAGACAGACAGGAGAGACAGACAGGAGAGAGACAGACAGGAGAGAGACAAGAGAGACAGACAGGAGAGACAGACAGGAGACAGACAGCAGTGAGACAGACAGCAGAGAGACAGACAGGAGAGAGAGAGACAGGAGAGAGACAGACAGGAGAGAGACAGAAAGGAGACAGACAGCATTAATACTTTGGTACTGCAGTATTACTGTACTCTGTTTCAGGTACTTAAATACTTTTAATGCACTCCTGAACAATCTGACACCACAGTATTATTACATCCCAAAATGTAAACACCATAACGTTGCTTCTTACAGAAATTGATGAAATATATTATATAGTTAATATAATAAATGTTTTTTTTTTGTCCAGTTAAAAAAGGAAAAGAGCAGTGAGTTTTCGGCTAGATGTTATACAGAATATAATAATAAACATTATTAATAATATAAGTGGAGCTTGTCTCAGCAACACATGGGATACCTTTAAATATATAATAATTATATATGAGAATATTTGTATTTATGCAAATTGTGACAAGCATCGTGATTTACCGTGAGTATTTTTGATCCTAAAACTATTATCCTATATTAGCATTTCGAAGTAAAACATTGTATTTCTTATTCCAAAATGTTAGTGATCGTTTTGGTGGGAAACATTTAGACAGCGTTTGTTTTTTACTAAACGAATCTTATAATTGTGACCAAAAAAACTAAAATTATGGATTTCTTTTTTTGTCAAAATGATTTAAACATTTCAAAAATGTTGATCTATTTGGTCAATCTTTAGACCTATTGTCTTCATTTGTGTGCCTTGTGTTTTTTAACAGCTGTACTCAGATCCTTTATAGATTGAATTAAATCATAAACTAACACATTTTGATTAACATCAATACAAATGATAAGATTAACCATGTTTACATTTCAAACTTTGGACGTTTTTCATTTAAGCTAATTTTAATAAAAAGCTATTTTGTGAGTATTTATTTGTAAAGTCTGTAACACTAAAGTGGCTTTTATTTTAAAAGTTTACAGTTTTAAAAAGGATTTTCAGATGTTTATTGTATCTTCAACACTGTGTAACACTCCTTGTTATGAATGTATCTTTACCTCCACCTGAGTGCCTTAAAGTCGAAAGGTCCCATGTCATGCTTTTCCGGTTATACCCGTCCCCTTGTGTGTTATGAAGGTTTTTCTGCATGTAAACGGTCTGCAGAGTCACAACCCTCAAAGTACACCCTGTAGAGAGTAAAACTCTAACACAGAGAAGACCTTTCTATGCTGCCCCAGAACGCCTCGTTGGGGATTTCTCCCTTTGCAGACCATTTACATGCACTAAAACCCTTTATTCTGACTTGACAAACACTTCTCAGTCCGTCATATTTGACCAAACGACAACAGGAAGGTTAGATAAATTAAGGCAAAGCACTTTCCTGTTAGACAATTGAAAGTCTAAAGGAAATAAAAAAATAATATCCCTATTTATTGTCCAACCTTCATACGACCTTGTACACATTTCGACTTCTTTCTTCTATCTAACTCCACTTCCCCCCCCCTCCATATATACGTCTGTTCTTATGTAAACAGATATACTGTAATCATGATGTCATACACTTGCATTTCTTATTTTATTTATTATGTGTCTTTCTTTGTGTGTCCCACATTTCGTTTTTTTTTGGTTATTCCACCACTGTAATCCACATCGGCATGTACTGATACTGAATGAATATGGTGGAGGAGGGGGACCCCTGTGACGTCAGAGACACAAAGGGAAAGGGGAGCTTGTCTGACGTGAGAGATTGAAAAAACAAAAAAAAGCAAAGGGTGATCTTGTGAAAGGAACAGAGAGAAAAGGGGGAGGGGTTATAACGATGACATATCGACGCAGAGGGAGGGACGTAAGCGTCACCGTGAGCAGCCGCTTCTCCTTTTAAAGCCTCCGGAGGACCGACAGACGTACAGACGCGCAGCCGGACCTTAAATACCTCTGATCGGCTGTACCGGGGACATTTGACAGCTGAGAGCACCAGGTTTTTTCTTTCACCCTGATCCCTGATGGAGCTCCTGCAGCAATCCCTGCACCACCACTACCACTACCACCGGGTCTGAAGCTCCGGTCCGCCCGGTCTCCTCCCGTTATTCGCTGCCCGGTTCCGTGCTCTGTGAGCGGGCCGCCGTCTCCTCCGTGACTCTCTGTTCTCATGCGATTCTTCAGACTCACATTCAAGTGTTTCGTGGATTGTTTTTGAAGGTCGCGGCCAGATTCTTGGTTCAATTCTCTTAATTTTTTTGGGGTAATATTTTTTTTATTTTTCACTAGAATCGTGTCTCTTTTTCTGCATTGGAGAAAAGATATGTCTCCAGATTATTACTAGATATTATTCGATTTATTTTTATTTAATTTTCATTCGATTTTAAAAACAGATTCTGGAGCATGATCCACGATCCGCCTGCACCTCGCTGAGATTGATAATAATATTGTATTATTACTGGAGAAGAAGCGAGAATAGAGATCCTGCAGCGGGACGAGCTGCACCTGCTGGACTGACTCATCTGTTTCTGACCGGGCTCTGAGGCTCTAAGGCTGCACAAATAAACAGGTTAGAGACTGAAAATACCAGAGCGACCAGTGCAGACTGAGGGGTTTGTTACTGGCATCTGACTGTGAGGAAGAGACAGATCCTGAAAGGAGAAGAGAAATCAGCTTTTTAAAGGTACAAAGAACTGAAATAAACTGTGCAAAAAAAGTGCGGACTGCTCCTTTAGCTGGTTGTGAGGGAAGGGAGTGAGGATAACAGATTTAAAGTGTTAAAACCTGCAGAATTAAAGGGAAGCAAAGAGAGATTTTCGACTTCATCTGACTTTGTTTCGATCTGGTTATTGGGGTGAGTCCAAGTGGGAAAAGACCAGATTCTGAAGGAAAGACTTGCAAGAATTAAAGGGACTGAATTTACCAGCAACCAGTGCAGACTGCGGGGTTTGTTATTGGTATCTGACTGTGAGAAAGAGACTGGTTTTAGTCCTGAAAGAAGAAGAGGAAACACCTTTTGAAAGGGTACAAAGAAACTGAAATAACTGTGCAAAGAGTGCAGACTGCTCCTTTAATTTACTGACAAAAAGACAGAATTTAAGGGAAGCAAAGAGAGATTTTTGAAAACATCTGACTTTTTTAGTTTCTGGTTATTTGGGTGAGTCTAAGTGGGAAACCACCAGATTTTGGGGCTCAGAAACAGGAATTAAAGGGAACTTGACCCGGGTTTTTCAACCCTTTTACCAACTTTTTTTTTTAAGTAAACGGTTTCCTGACTGGACTTTTGAGCGATGGAGAAGTCGGCCTCCTCCTGCTCTCTGGTTCTCCTGGAGGAAACCAAGAAGACCCCCCTCTTACATCCAAACGGTGCCTGTGGTTACCCCCCAGCGGCCTCTAACGGTAGCCTGGTCCCGTTAACGGGGGCGGGGTCCGGTGCTGGAGCATGTGCCGGGCCGGAGAAGAAAGCGCCCCCTGCTGTGGTGCCTTATCAAGAGAGAGAAACATGGACCCGGCAGATGGACTTCATGATGTCCTGCGTGGGATTCGCTGTCGGACTGGGGAACGTGTGGAGGTTCCCGTACCTGTGCTACAAGAACGGAGGAGGTGAGTCTGATCTGAGTGACAGGAGTGGGTGAGGAAGAGATGGATGTTAGTTTTAAAGACGAAGAGAAATCAGATTTAAAAGCTTCAAGGAAACACTTGTCTTACTTGTGCAAACAGTGCCGACTGCTGCTTTTAATTGTGACAGAACCTGCAGAATTAAAGGAAGCAAAGAGAGATTTTTGACTTCATCTGACTTTGTTTGTTCCTAGTGAGTCTGAGTGGGAGAATATCAGATTTGTGGGCAAAACAATGCAAGAATTAAAGGGCAAAGAGGCTGAAGAAACCGATTTTAGTGCTGAAAGAAGAAGTTAAATCAGATTATAAAGGTATAAAAAACAGAAATCACTGTGGACCGTTCCTTCGGCTGGTTTTGAGGAACGAGAGTGAGAAAAAACAGATTAGTGTAAAAAACCTGCAGAAATAAAAGGAAAAAAAGAGAGATTTTTTTTTACCTCAGTGCAACAAGAAGGGAGCAATGACTTCAATCTGAGTGACAGGAGTGGTTGAGGATGTGGGCGGGACTTATGTTCAAAGGGGGCGTGGTTTCAACTGAGTCTTTCATAATTTGCGTCTCATTGATTTGTTATTGATCGGAAAAGGGTGCAGCTGGTTCGTGTGTGTGTGTTCTGCAGCTAAACAATACTTAATTCAAAATGTATTTTAACACACATATCAATATTTATCTTCCTGCAATATTCCACTAGTCCATATTGTGATTACGATAAATCTCTTAACAGCTCTTTATAGTATTATGCTAAATGACTTGTTTTCCAGGAAAGTTTGAGCATATTTCTGTTGGACACAGGATTATATTTAGACAGTCGACAAAACCTTATGAATGTTAGTCAACCAAGGTTTGTTTAGTTGAGGAAAGCCCCATGTGCTATTTGTATCCACTCTGAGTGTGTGAGTAACTGTAGCCTGTGAATGAATGTGTGTGTGTGTGTGTGTGTGTGTGTGTGTGTGTGTGTGTGTGTGTGTGTGTGTGTGTGTGTGTGTGTGTGTGTGTGTGTGTGTGTGTGTGTGTGTGTGTACATTTGAAAGGAGCCCTATTGTGCTTATTGAGGTTTTCGTACGTGATAGGCTAAGGGGCGGGACATCTCTAGGCGGTTGACCTATCACAACAGAGCCGGCCAGCTAACCAATCAGAGCACCTGAACATCAGCAGGAGAGGACTCTTTAAAGTAGAGACACTACATACTGATATACACCTAAACATCAGCAGGAGAGGACTCTTTAAAGTAGAGACACTACATACTGATATACACCTGAACATCAGCAGGAGAGGACTCTTTAAAACCAGACTGTTTCTATATAAGCGTGTGCTATAAAGAGATAACAGAACGTCCATGCTGTAATTGACCAATAGGAATTGAGTATTCAACAAAGCCCTTTATTTATAGTTTTCACACTATAATAGAAAGCTGATATTTGGCCTTGAGGTCACGTGTTTTTAACAACATTTCCCCGTAGAAGAAAGTTACGATCTGTAGAGCCAGGAAAAATTAATATTTAACAGTTGGCTTTGAAAAACATAAACAAATGACATTTTCTAACAGTTAACTTCACTGTTATCATTCACCGTTTACTGTGAAGTGATGGATCATTGACTTGTAAAAATATGTTTTCCTTTCACTCTGAAACGGCCGTCTGAACAAAGGTTGTTTACGACCAGAAAGAAAAATGCCTTGGACGTTTCTTCTCAATCTAGTAAACACTTCGAAGTAAAAGACCTGCATGTATTTGCTTCGGTAAAAAATCAGGAGTAAATAAGAAAATATACTAAAGTGAGTTCTTCAGATGTTCAATTTACAACGATATGAAACTGAGAATACCCCAAAATCCTGGAAACACAACATGTTTGACATTTAAAAAATATAATTTAATTGACCAATTCTTACATTTCGCTCTCGTTGGAATCTAATAAACATTTTAGTAAATGATGAGTACAAATGAATGGATATAAAATATATACTAAATAGACAGTTTTCAAGCAAGACTTTCCAACTTTTGTTGTGTTTTGTGTCTTAGTGAAATATGTGTTTGCCTGTTTGTGATATTAATTGAGTAAAAGCCCAATTAATAAGTTTCCAAACGTCTAAATGGAGAGGAGGTGCACAGTGTTCCAAATCCCTGTCCAAATTAAACAACAGAGACAAACTGCTGACGGAGATTCAAGATTTGTTTCTTAATCGCTGAAAAGGTCTCTTTCACACAGTTTCTGCTGGACGGAAAGGTCTGAATGTTCACACAGATAGAAGGAGGAGGAGGAAGAGGAAGAGGAGAAGGAGAAGGTCAGACTCATGTTAAATCACTAAGTATCAAAAGAAAAGGGAGAGTTCTCACATTACGGAGACATGCTGATCTAAAGGTCGCCTCCTCCTCCTCCTCCTCTCCGCTCTGCTGCCTCACACCTGATTTATAAAACAATGTTTCTCTTTAAAAGAAGCATTTTGCTCTTTAATCTGCAGCATGGCGCCGTGGTTGTGGAGCTCCAGAGTCTCTTATTTATGCCATTGTCCCCGAACAACTATTTCAAATGGGCCCTGTTGTGCTTTTTCACAGGCAGTATGAGAACAATAGAGAGCTTTTGAACTTTAAAGCAACGAGACATGTCCATGGACCAGAGAGAGTACACACACACACACACACACACACACACACACACACACACACACACACACACACACACACACACACACACATACACATACACACACACACACACACACACACACACACACACACACTGTATCCCAACTTCTGTATGTATGTCTTTGTGATGTCCTTATCATTCTGTCCTCCATGACCCTCATCCTCCCTCCCCTCAACAAAGTTGCAATTTATTATACTGCAGAGTGTGTGTGTGTGTGTGTGTGTGTGTGTGTGTATATGTGTGTGTGTTGGTTTGTGTGTGAATCCTCCATCACACCAATTAAAATACCAACGAGAGAGAGAGAGAGAGGAGAGAGAGAGAGAGGAGAGAGAGAGAGAGAGAGAATGAATTCCTAATTGTTCATTCATGTCTCTTGCAACAGTTCAGAGTAAAGGAGAGGAAGCCTTTTTTAATTCATTCATTTAATTCATTCATTCATTTAAAGGGTCAGATTCTTTACTTCCTTTATAGCCCAACATTAGCCACCTTTAGCTTAGCGGTGGTGACGTGAAGTCATGTGACCGTGCTTTACTTCCTTTATAGCCCAACATTAGCCACCTTTAGCTTAGCGGTGGTGACGTGAAGTCATGTGACCGTGCTTTACTTCCTTTATAGACAGGAGAGAGACAGACAGGAGACAGACAGCAGTGAGACAGACAGGAGAGAGACAGACAGGAGACAGACTGGAGAGAGACAGACAGGAGAGAGACTGGAGAGAGACAGACTGCAGTGAGACA